ACAAGCTCCGACAATGATTTTCTGTGAAAACTGCAAGTACTTCAAACCAGCACTAGGAAACAGTCTGAGAAAGCACAGTAAGTGTTTCTCCTGCAACCAGTTCCCTTTTTGCAAGATGAATGAAAGTCTCTACACATGCTCTGTTCTGAGAGATAAGTGTGTGTGAAAGCCATCATTGAACTTGCTTGTTGGGAACTCAAAATTTCTTTTGAGACACGAACTCCACTACATACACAAATATCGGGAGGAACAGGCTCCCACACTGATTTTCTTTGAAACCTGCAGGAAATACAAACCTACACTAGGAAACAGACTGAGAAACCTGAGTAATTGTTTCTCCTGAAAAATGTTACTTTTGTGGTAGTTGAATGAATGTTTCTCCTCATTCTCATTCCTGGGAAATAAGTGTTTGTGAAAGCTATTATTCACCTAGCTTGTTGGGAACACAAACTTCTTTTCAGTTGCTAACTCCACTACATACTTTTATATGTTTTGGAACAAGTTCCAACTCGGATTTACAGTGAAAACTGCAGGAACTTCAAAGCAGCACAAGGAAACAGACTTAGAATCCAGAGTAAGTGTTTCTCCTGCCACCCTTTCCCTTTGTGTGAGATCAATGAACGTACCTCCACATGCTAATTTCTGAGAGATAAATATGTGAATCCCGTCCTACAGATAGCTTGTTGGGAACACAATTTTTCTTTACAGGTGCAATGTCAACTTCATACATATATATGTGTAGGTACCTTCTTCAAATCGGATTTACATTGAAAACTGCAGGAACTTCAAAGCAGTGCTAGGAAACAGACTGAGAAATCAGAGAAAGTTTTTGTCCTTTTACCCGTTCCATTTGTGCTAGATAAAAGAACGTCTCTCCACATACTCAGTTCTGGTAGACAAGTGTGTGTGAAATCCATCCTTCACATTGCTTGTTGGGAACACAAAGTTTCTTTTCAGTTGCAAATTCCACTACATACATTTATACGGGTAGGTATAACTCCTGCTCGAATTTACAGTAAAAAGTGCAGGAACCTTAAAGCAGCACTAGGAAACAGTCTGAGAAACCAGAGTAAGTGTTTCTCTTGCTACCCGTTCCCATTGATCTAGATTAACGAAGGTCTCTCGGCACACTCAGGTCTGGGATATAATGGTGTGTGAAAGCCGTTCTTAAACTAGCTTGTTGGGACTCAAAGTTTGTTAACATTTGGAAACTCCACTACATAATATATATTTTTAGGTAGAGGCTTCAACCCGGTTTTCAGTGAAAACGGCAGTAACCCCAAACCAGTACTAGCAAGCAGACTGAGAAACCAGAGTAAGTGTGTCTGTTGCAACCCGTTAATTTGGGCTAGATGAACGGACGTCTCTCCACATTATCAATTCTGTGATTTAATTGTGTGTGAAAGCCATCTTTCACATAGCTTTTTGGGAACACATATTTTGTTTTCAATTGTAAACTCCACTACATATATACATATCGGGAGGTACAGCCTCAAACTCTGATTTTCAGTGAAAACTGCAGGAACTTCAAAGCAGCACTAAGAAACAGACTGAAACCAGAGTAATTATTTCTCCTGCAACCCGTTCAATTTGTGATAGATGAACGAAAGTCTCTCCACATACTCAGTTTTTGGAGGAAATTTTGTGTGAAAGTAGACCTTCACCAAGCTTGCTGTGAACACAATGATTCTTTTCATTTACAAACACCACTACATACATTTATATGTGGAGATACAATCTCCAACTTGGTTTTTCAGAGTTAACTGCAGGAATTTCAATCAGGAACTAGGAAAAAGACTGAGAA